GACCTCGCCCACTGCGGCACGTCAGCGCGAGTTTCGCGCCTTTCCCCATGCTTTGCGGGTGGGGACGAAGGCGAGCACTGCGTGACCTATTGGCCAACTATAGACTGGCCATTTAGGACACTTTACTACCGTCCCTGGTGAACTGAGAAAGTGGCGAGAATCAACGTGCGCAATTCGAACACTATCTAGTCGCTATTACATCGCTCAGACCATCCGTACATACTTCGAACGGCTGATGCATAGTTCTTGACCTGCGCCAACATTCGTGCAGCCCCTATGCATGCGTTTTGTACGCCCGCGTCGCTAAAATCGGAACAAACTTCGCCCTAAATTTTTCCCCCTTTTCCCGGAAACACGTGAGTTCAAACGCTAAAATACTGATGGTAGGCTAAGCTAGCGAACCTGAATTTTCTATGTGATGTGAATTGTAAAGTAAATGTTGCTGACACTGTATTAATCCCACATGAGACACGGAAAACACACAGCAGCGGCCAAAGCCATTTCACAAGTGGTTTTCTAAGGTTTTTCCTGTGAGAATCATTGAGTCATCTCCGAATCCGCACTACTCATCTAACACTGACTTCGTAATTTTACTAATTCCAGTGAATTCGATTAACCAATAATTTTTTGATCGGCCTTGATTTGTGCCGGATAGCCTGGCATTTTTCTCTAGGTCAAACCCCCACTTTGAATGCTAAAAGCAGCTACCGAGGCACCAAATTAGGTCAGAAAATATTGTTAATCAGAATTCACTGAAATTGTAAAATTACGACAGTCAGTCGTTTTAAAAATAAGAAGTGTACAACCCCAGTTTGAACATCAAACACAAACGCCATAAAGTCAAATCAAAAGGAGAAATATCTATCATCAATATAGGGACCATCACTAGCAGTGACTTGTTGCCAGTGATTCACCGGAACGTCGATGCCATGCTCTTAGAAGGTGGGCGGTTTCAAGCAAAATGGCAGCAGGGTCGTTTGGGGTATTTTTTGTAACGTATTTTTTGTCTGTAAGATGATCATAGCGAAAGGGAGTATCGCAGTCCTCGGAAAGACTGACTGTCACGTTGAATTGGTCCCCAACTAACCCTTCCGAATAATAGACTCGCGTGATTTTTTGAAAAGCAACGTGTGACTCGTTTCGGGAGCGAGCCATACTTTATCGGATTTTGAGTGTATCAATTGGAGTTTTCTAACCCGCTGTGTCTTGACTACATGAGACCTGTATTTTACAAAGCTAAATTTGGGGAGAAGCTCCTCAGTCGCCGATTTTCGATTTGTTTTCCATCACCTATCACCTGTTGTCCCGATGATCATCGAATTCCTTCAGCGAGCGCCAGCAACGTCTCCATTAATCCCTGTCGCGTGCAGGAGTGGTCCATCCTGTATTGCTCGTCGAGAATGACATTCCTTTGGTTCGACTTTCGTGACGAAATCTGAGCATCGTCCAGGTTGTTCGTTTGACGTCCCGAGGGATCCAGTCGGTAACCGCTCTGGTCCAACGGTCATCGCAAAATCGCATGACGTGTCCGGCCCACCTTATCTTCGATTCCTTGGCGAAAACGGCAGCGTCCCTGATCTTCGATCGTTGGCGTAGTTCGGAACTCCGGATTCCCCTCTGCACTTGCGTTTGTAAAGACGGTAAAGAATAAAATGCACTTTCTAGAAGTTTCTTTCTCAGATAACCTTGATCGGCGAGAAGAAATCCATCTTTGGGTGCCCGGGTGGATATCGTAGCTTTTCGAAAAGCTTAGTTGTGAGCCGCAGATGTGCTCGAAGAGAAATCTTGGAGGAACTACACCGGGGTGGTTTTCAAAAAGGGAGATATTAGATAAAACATGTCAGGTATACAATAAGGTTTATAATGAGGCATTTGAATCTCGAGTGCAACCTTTTCCGAGACGCCAACGTCGCAAAACACAAGAAGTCCAGTTGGACATCCAGAACTCGTGCATATATAGGGATACTGCTAAACGCATTCTGGATGATTGATGGCTAGCGTATTTTTCAAACCACCTTGTTATCGAAAACGTAGGAGCCATCAGAAGAAACATTAAAACAACAAATCACCTTAAACGTTGGCGAAATTGACTGTTTTGGAATAGATCAACGAGACAAATGTCGGGAGTTCGGTTCAGAGCATGCCAAATAGAATGTCTGAACTTATAGGAGGCTTTGGTAGACCTGCCAGTTTTTGACCTCGAGAACATTTCTGATTTTTGAAAAGTATCTACATTCTTCTTACGCAGGGAAGTTTTTACACCAATTAAAAACTAAATTAAGCATTAAGCTGCATGTAAAACGGTGAGAAATGAGAGATTGCAAGGTTTTTGCGTGCGACAAATTGACCGGTAACGGTCTCATAGAAAAGAAGTCAAAAGTGTCGTATAGAAGAAAAAATTTGGGGTTTCACATACTTTGTTACACTTTGTAAATGTGTTTGATGTAATTGGAATATTGTAATTGTAATTGTTTATTACACAGGTAAACCTGTGTGGAAAAAAATTATATATAAAAGGAGGTGAAAATCTTCAAGAACAATTGAACGAAATAACAGTTGGAAAGCTGCAACTCAACAGAAATGACATAAGAAATGACGAATTGTGTGGAATATTCATATTCAATGTGTACATAGCTTGCGGAGGCTGGGTAGTGTATGCAGGCGCTGGACACACACGCTAGCCAGCTGGCGCTTTGTAATTGAAATTTCTATACACGTCTTGAGACACTAACCAGGAAGGTCTTTCAGGGCGTGACAAGCTTTTTGAAAACGGTCTTTTGCATGATATAGGGGCAGATGCGGGAACCACAGAACCATGTTCAATTTTTCCTGAACGGCCCTCTGAATACCAGAAAAGGAGGTCCCTAGTTCGATTCTGGTAACAAATTTTTGCATTTCGAGTTGACGTGCCAAAATTCGCGCAAAATGGAGTTAGAACCAACCAGAACAATCAGAACTCCATTTTGCGCGAATTTTGGAACGTCAACTCGAAATGCAAAAATTTGTCACCAAGAGGAATCGAACTAGGGACCCCCTTTTCTGGTATTCAGAGGGCCGTTCAGGAAAAATTAATGGTTCTGTGGTTCCCGCATCTGCCCCTATATCATGCAAAAGACCGTTTTCAAAAAGCTTCGTCACGCCCTGAAAGACCTTCCTGGTAAGCTCGCGGCGAATACAGAAATCACTATGGATGTTTGATAATTTAGCTTGCAACCCAGGTTGCTAATAAAAACTTATTCGGCTGATGTTTCTTTATTATCGCCTCTCCGGAGCCTGGAAGGGCAAAAGACATTTGAGAAGCTACCGATCCAAACACTACTTCAATCTTCAAAAGTCACTCGACAGGATCGAGGCTGCTGAGGCGATGCTACCTATAGAACCACATAGACTAACCCTTAGTATTGTCGAACTGCATGGTCTGTCATCCCCATCTGGTAGAAATGCAGTTTGAATAGGGGACAAATTGCTTAAGAAATCTCCTAAGAGTTGCTCACACAGATCAGGCTCTTCAGGAGACCAAGCGCGCTGCTGACCGATTTCAACCAACCTCCCATTGACCCCCCCCCCACCTCACCGGAAGAGTCCCGGGGGTGATCGTCCGCGTAAGTCAAAAGCCACAAAAGTCCGTAAAACGCGACACTCCTTAGTAATCTCCACACACTTCCCTCCTATTGATTTCAGGGGTTTTAGTTGTGATCCAAAGGGCCTCCGCGATCTGTTGAACAGCATTGTCAGTCTCGGCTGATAGCTGATTCATCTAACATCGATGATCAGAAGAAATGACGAGATTCATTGGGAGTCGAACGTACACGCTATATGGAAATCACTCTTTAATCACATGAATGGGTGGAAAACAATGAGCCAATTCAGAATTCGATCCTATGACCTGTCGGCCTCACTACCGCTGCGCTTCGAATCCATAACCACATTAAGCAAATCGTTCAACAGAAAACGAAGGCATATTTGAGCTCTGCTTTTCAGGCTCAAATAGAAATGACGGTGTTAAGGTGGTTTAGGGAAGAAGGGGCTCGCAGCGCGCGGCATGTCTGCGTCCTCCCAGCGAGGTAGTGTGAAATCACACAGTCCAGCTTTTCACACATCATACCTGACACAACTCCCTCCCGCCACTGCCTACATTATAGCTGGCCCACTGATCGGTCTGCTCTAAAGTGTGTAGATATGCCGTGCTTCACGGTGGCGGCTAGCCTTACTCAACTATTTATCTTACCACCGGAATAACCCCTTCTCTCACTGCCTTGGTTGATGTAATGACCTCTTCTAGTGACACTGCAACTACGGCATGTTTGGCTGTGGGAAACAAGGCACGCAAGATGGTGGGTCTTGTTTCCTGCAGATGAACATGTCGTATAATATTTATAATAGATACGTTTGTAGCATGATTTGGTTGCCAATCAAAACCCAGCTTATTTACTCAATTTCGGTACTAAATTTAGGTGGAACAGCAAATCAGTGCCTCATGACAATTGCGCCCGTTCCGAGTGGAACGATAAACTATAACAATGTGAGTCATCGTGAAGTCTACTCTAGCTGAGAGACCTCAACAGATGCTTTCAGGCTCGTCCGTTTGGACCATGGCCGCTTGGGTCATCAGCTTCATTGACGTGTAACGCCGGATTCACGCCATCAGGTCTTGTCAATAGTCATTATTGATCAATCAATTTATTTATTCGTTTATTTATTTACAACCAAGGTGTGCACGAATAATAGTACTCAGCAACACCAAGAAACCTAAAACATACTCACAAAAAACGGAAAGATCAGAGAGATTTTCATACACAAAATGATGTGGGAAAAGCTTCATTAGGTCTTCTCTTCTAACAAGCATTCCTTATAAATTGAAAATACAGCTTATGTAAGAATGCTGTAAATTTTCTAGTACCATTCGTAGTTCGTTATTAAATGTACTTCTGCATTTATACAGGACCCACCACTAGCACTTGCTCAGGGAACGGTCAATGGTTGCCATCTGTGCTTGGTCCATGCCTTTCATCAGACTCTGTAATGTTGGCAAAGTGCCAGGCTATCCCGGCGATCTTGGGCGGAACTGTAAGATAAACTTTCCTGAAATAACTTTGATATCTTGATCGGCCCTGGCAGTTGCAGCCATGACGTGTAAGGCAACTTCAGGGGCAGTAAATAGATTACTGAAATGATTTAATTGGCAGGTAACATACAGCGATCCAAGGTTTCCTCCGTTCAACCAGGGAACAACAGCAACACTGGCTTGCTCTCAGGGCTACACTTTAGCAGGATCATCGAGCGCCACATGTATTGGTGGTGTCTGGACTCCAGGTATATTTGATCCACACTTTCGCAAATGTGAACACTTCTACAGAACCATTCAATGCACTAAAAAATGACAACTTTAGTGAGATCTCTTAAGCAGATAGCGGCGAATGTCCGAAGTACAGGGCTTTTCTTGGACACATTTCCGTTTCAGACTTTAAGATGCTTATCGCAGTCACCAGGTTTTACAATCCACTCAGCTTTGGAGGTGGGCTGATCCACATGTACACAAGTTGCGCCATTCTCATTCCATGATGCATTGGCAGCTATCTCATTCTCAACCTCCCATCCACTCCCGACGCACACGCATCCTTGACAACGATGCTGTCTGCGACTCTCTCAGTCCACTCCTGCCTCGCTCCTCGTTTGTGGAAAATCTTCCGTTCCTAACTGCAGTTTCCTCGACCTTCTTACCACAAATAAACTGTGAAAAGGTGCCTCATTCTGAATGTAGTCGGCGGTAGTTTTTTTTCCAATAGCTGACGTGTACTGCAGTTTTATATTTCACCGCATGGTGGTGTAGCAGAAAGTGTATTCAAAGGCAACTTTTTTGCACTACGTAGAGCATCACTTGTCCAGACAGTAAAACATAATTTACCCATTCTGTTTTCTCTCTTTGCTAGTCACTGCCATGTGGGTTATGCTGGTTCCAGTGAACCTTGTGGGAGTCCTTCCCAAGGATGTTCGCTTTCGGTGTGCCGAGTAGGCCTAAAATGCTGTCTGATTCCCCTCACATGTGGGACTTTTCACATCGGACGCGTTTGATCTTAGGAGTGTGTTTGTGAAGGATCGCTCATTATTTGTTATTTGTTTTCAATCCCTGTCACAGACAACAAAACTTGCACCCAGTGTAATTCAATCTGATTTTCTTGGGGATATGTTCCTCCAAACTGTCTTTGATAATACTTAATTCTAGCTTGTTTAGGTCTGGGTAGTTGCTTGATGCGCTCGCTACAACGTTCCGCCGTGGTACCCGTTGTCGTTCTCCGACAAAATTCTCCCGAAGCGGAAGAGTTCTGTCCTGCTCCTGTGGCGTCGCCATGGGGAGAGGTGAAACAAGATGTAGGCAATAGCACTGAAGCGTCAAATTCCTATTAATCTTGTTCAGATCACATTCTCCACAACATCAAATCCGAAAGGCTTTGCACCGGGGACAACCGCGGCGCTTCGATGCACGTTTGGTCGACACATTGTAGGCCCGTCGTTCTCCACCTGCTCGCGTGGAGTATTCCGACCTCTTCTTGGAAAATGTTCTGATGGCAGAGAGGGCACTACACCAGGAGTTTGCCTACCGTTGACACCACCTTCCAATGGAATGGTAGATATAAGCCTGTTGACCTGCTGAGTGGTACCAAAAATTAACCTTCTAATCTTCAGATCACCTACATCCAAGCAGGAAGGCAAGAGAATTTCGAGGTCGGGACGACGGCCCTGCTTTACTGTTTGGCATCACATGCGGTAACCGGACAGGCTACGGTAGTCTGTTCCAAGGAAGGTTGGCAACCGTCCAGTGGGCTCGGAACATGTGATCCAACAGAGCGCCAGAGTTAGACTGCATGAACATTGTTCATATGCATTTTGTCTGTAATAATTGTTTGTACAGCTCAGATGTCATTTCTTTCATGTTGCTTTCGCTATTATGAAGTGGCACATATTGTATTATATAGAATTCAAAATAGTCGAAGTGAATAAATTTGCAATAAATTTTCAATAATGTTCAAATGAATTGCTGCGTCGTTCAGCCCATAAATAGTTGTACCCTTCCTGCTTTCCTATCCATTGATTTGGAAGTAGAGGGAGGTCACTGTTGCCGAGATAAACCTTGAGAAATTGCCGTAGCGCTGGACTCTAATCCATTCAGAAGGTCATTTGTCGCCTGTTGCTCATTTGGCTGCTTTGGCGATTAGGCACACTTGTTGGCAGACAACTCGTGACGAATGTACTCTTTTCACTAATGAAAAGGAGTCGTTCGTCTTTCGTTTGAAGACAAAACTATATTTTCAACTGCTCGAAGCTCAGTATATCGAACATTATCGAATTTCGAATAAGTAAAGGCTTGCGCTGCGATCGCATCGAAAATCAGGGCACCCTTGAGGCATACAATAGAACAGAAGAGGTATCTGACAAGTTCCAAACTCAAATCTTTCCATGTGTCAAGGAATACCTCAGAAGAAATCACAGCAACATCGAAAATATTTGCGGAACCCGGCGCACGCGCATTTGCGCAGAGTTCTTGCCATCTGAGCTGCATGGTGATCACTGCGTTTGGAAAGTGGTCATCTAGATCTTCCTGCTCAACTCTACTAGTTGACTCTGTACGGAGTCTAATGAAGTCGAGCACCTATGTCGTGACGCCCACACGACTTCTTCATCGCAACTTACGTACCGTGATCTCGAGTGATCTCCACACGCAGACGCCCCAATCAAGGAAGGAGTATCGACAAATGGGCACTGAATATTCGACGCTGCGTAGGACGGAATTTTCGGGCCTAGCCGAGCATTGCGGCTACTTCTCTTCGTATCGTTTTTCTGCGCTACGTGTGGACTGTCCCCACACGCCTGTTGGCGTCCTCATTCGTTTACTGTCTATATTCTCGCTACCTCCAGTCGGTCCCCTGTTGTGGCAGTTCGGTTGCTGTCCTGGAGCAACTCCTTTCAACGCATCTGCCTGCATATATTCGAGATCGCAGTAGGAAGGATCGCGCAGAAACTCAGCTCCCTCTAGCGGGACGACCCGGTCGTAACACACTTTCCTGGACAACGGCTAGTCGTCATTGTCCGAGGGCGAGGAGCGTCCACAACCCCTAGTTAGGCAGGAGGCCAGCACGTAGGTTAATTAAATAGGATGTTTTTTTGTTGTGGTAGCGCATAAAGTGCTATATAGGTACCTTTGTAAGTAGTGTAGCGAAACGGTTTAGACCGCAATTTACCTCTCCTGCATTTCGCTACCTCTTACTACTAATTCAATTGAATCTAACTACAAACAATATCGTAGTAACGGGAGATTTATTGTCAGTCGAGAGTATGCAAGGTAGCAAGGCTTGAAACCCAGGAAAGAAAGGGGTCTCGTATACGATAGGACCGCGTCCATGGACTGGCAGGTGAGAGTCAAGACATGCCTTTGAAGTCGTAGTAGCACGCAACATCTTTGACAAGACATTCATTCAGGGAAGCCATATCGGGCCGCTGAGACGGGCACCCGGCAAAACATGGTGCATCGGGTTGGGGTTGGACACGCGCCAACGCGTGTCCAGCCTTAGCGATCGAACCTTCTAGCACCCATAACCCCCCTGGCCTCCCTGGGCTCATGATCTGTTCGGTTAGGTCCGAGCACCCACGGAACGCACATGCACGAAGTAACAATTAGGTCATACCTTCACCACCCTAGTGCCCGTACGGGTGTTTGACGCTAGAGTGGCACTAGTAGCCATACAACGCACGTGGCAGCCGCGGCTAGGGAACGGAAAGTTTGCCCTCTGTAACATGGGAAAGTAGTACGATCGGACACTGCGGGTAACGCCAGGCAAAAATTGCATGGAGGGAACCCGAGGAAGGGAGGAACCACCCTCATGTAATCTGGTTAGTGACGGTCCGAAGCAGCTAGCTAGGCTAGACTGCCCAGTGGCACCGCTCGTAACTTTGCATAGATACAGACTGTCTCTTCGGAGCGTGGCGTCCGTGCGTGTGGACTCGAGAACCACCCACAAAGTTCTTCGCAATCGTCAGGGCCGAATATAACACCGGAACACTAACACCAAGTTGTGCAAAGCACATGTAAAATCCATAACAGCCTACTTGTCATTTTGAACTATGTCACACCTCCTTTCGTTGTGATTATTATCGTAAGGCCAACGTCGCTTATCCGCAAATACCGTTCAGCCGCGAGAGGCTCATGGCCGGAGCCGCCTCACGGAATGACACATACTCACTCTCCCTTTTTAGATTTGGGTTAGGCAGTTACCACCTCCTGCCTCAGCGACTATTCATGTCGACTATCAGTGTATGTAAGGCCAACTTAACAAAAGCGCATTCAGCGCTTGAAGCAACCAAAGGTAAGATTCCGTCGAATCTTATCGACCCATTCAACAGTAAAACAATACCGCCCGCAGACGAGCTCCAGCGTCTTGCGAACGTCAAGATGCCATACGGACACACTTGCCGAACATGCGCGCAGCGTTACGCACGGTACGAGAAAGACATCAAGCATTTCCAGATTTCATAAACAAATCTACTGATCCAGAAAACGACAACGCAGCGTACATGGACTACAACAGTCCAAAATCGAGGACGCAACTGTTGCTGCCGACAATCTTATACAAGTACTCCATACTAATCTAGAAGAGGCTTGCGCACGCCTTGAAAGATTGCGGTCATCAATCGCACCCAATCAACAACAAGAACACGATCGAAGCCAACACGAACTAGAAGTGGAGGCGACTCCTCAAATTGGGGACTATGAAGAACACAGTCGCACTATCCCCAAATGACTTCGAGGGACATCCCAAGTTATAACGCAGCAGACACCCACTATGCCTTATTAGGTAATCAACACGCAGCAGGCCAACCAACGATTCAGTTGGGCAAATTAACCCTCGAACCCTTTACAGGAGATATCACGCAGTTTCAGCGTTTTTGGCGCGCATTCGAAGTTGCAGTCCACAATGATTCCTCAATCAGCGCAACTTACAAGTTCCTCTACCTGCAAAGCTTGCTTAAAGGGGAAGCGCAAATTGTGTTGCAAGACATGGACCCAGATGAGTGCAACTATTACGAGCTAGTATGCGCACTCAAAAAAAGGTACGACCGGCCTCACAAAACTCGTGCAACACTCCATAAACAATTACAACAGCGACCGCCAGCCGGTAATACGGGAACAGATTTACGCAACACATGGTTTCGCCTGTCGGGCATTCTTCGAGGTCTTCGCAAATTCTAGGATTTTCGCACAGTGCTACCGATACTCGATCTCGTAAGAAGCAACTTCCCTTCAGAAGTACAACAGAAGCTACACGATTTAGATCCAGTCAGGTGCAGATTTCGACTTCAAATCGTGCATCATCTAGACAACATCATTGCCTCAAAGAAGAAGTATGAGGACACTACGGCATTGAAAGACAGTTACTCAGTAAACAACACAAGTAGCACTCAACGCCCGAGATCCCGATCACAGTCACCATCACGCGAACTGAACTGCTGTGCATTTTGGTGAGCGCGCACGCATAAAACACGCGACTGCACAGTCAATATACCAGCCGAAGCGCGCACCAATATCGCCAAAGTATTCAATCTTTGTTGGAGATGTCTGAGCCAAGGACACTCACGTCGCAACTGCCGGTACCCAGCTTGCAGACGCTGCTCAGGAGAACACCACGAACTCTTGTGCAGGTATCAGTCACGCAGTGAAAGGCACCGCCGTAGTTCCCGTCAGCACGACGGCCACAAGTCGTGCAGATACCACTACGAACGCAACAGGGGTATTTATTGTTCACCATCAAGGGACAGATATTCATCAAGAAGTCCCTCACAGGAAAGATACAGACGCAGGAGCTACACCGACAGTGAGCGCTCTCGATCTCCACCGAGAGTGAATCGTCGTCGCGACTACGCTCCAAGGGCTCACTCTCCAACAAAGCGCTACACTCGCTTCTCTAGTCGGATAACATACCATTCACTGCCTAGAGCACGTGTCCCACAGCCCCGTGAGGGACAGGCAGTCCGGTCAACGCTTTTCTTCCCCACACCCTACTACCTTTCAACATCAGGCACAAGAATCGGACATAGAGCTAGAACAGCTCAATCACTGCTATCAAGCACGCAGGATCAATCATGCAATGTCCAATGCGTCATTAATGCTGGTCAACGCAAGAGCATTCAACCATGACGCATCAAAACTTGAAAAAGTGGTGGTGTTCCTAGACTCAGGAGCAGGGTCAAGCGAGGCGTCGAGGAAAATTTGGAAATACGACCCCCCCCCTCCCAAGGCCGAAGTCCATGAAACAACCCTCTTCAAAAGCCGAACTATGAAAAGGTTGTTTAATTCTCCCCCAAAACTGCTCATAAAAAAGCCCTGCTACCCCACCGTCCACAAAAAATTCGTTTAAAAGTACAAAAGTGAAAAAGTCAAAGAATGATCATTAATGAGTCCTACCAAACGAGCAAACGAGAAACGGAGCAAAAAACGACAAACTAGTCACTAAAAATGGCATACTATGACAACATCTCTTCTTTATTTATTTCCTCCACAAGACTTACCAAATTCTAGTACTACACAGATTATGGTTCTCAATTTACACGTCCCCCTTTCGCTGAAAGAAGCCTTGTAACCGCCTTCGCCAGCTGTGTGTTGACTGGACTTTGGCGTTGACCGTGGAGCAGCTTATTTACTATTGAAATTTGAACAAATATTCAAATGATTATAACTTTCTTCAAAGTTAACGAATTTTCAATCTGAAAGCAGATTTGGGAGTTTTGTGAAGAGCTTTTTCTAATCAGTAATGAAATTACAGGAAGTTATAAGAAATACAGTACTCGCCGTTTGAAATCGAAAATTC